GTTTCTTATTATTTAATAGGGCCTGTGGACAATTTTACTAAATAATAAGAAAAATATTACAATATTTAACTCAACATTTTTATTACATTATTTTACATTATTTTATATCATATTACACATTAGAATTGATATCATAGTGATTTTTCTTTTTTTTTCAAATAAGAAAAATCTTTTATTTAAAATGTTTTTTTTTGTGTGTCTGAATTAATAGTAATTAATTAAAAATGTATATATTTTTTAATTAAAATTGTCTTTATTTTTTTACATTTCTGAATTAATAAAATGCTGTGGACATTTTTTCAGACTATGTTGACAGCCATATCAATGAGTGCCATTGCTACAAACGGTGTTGTTCCAGGTAAGACATTGGCATATTACATTTATTGCTCTCATTTTGTATTTAAACAGGAAATGACATCATAGTCTGCATAAAACCAAGTTAAACCTCAAACACCCAGCATGAGTGATTATGGTGTTTATTGTAACCGCAGCGATGGTTTCCAGTAGAAATGCACTGCGGTCATTGCATGCGGTCGTCATGTTCTCTGTTTGACCCTGGAGTTCCTGTTGTTCTGTGTCACATTTACGCTTCGCTGATGTTTGTCTCCAGCTGGAGGCTCGTACTACATGATCTCTCGCTCTCTGGGCCCGGAGTTCGGAGGCGCTGTGGGTCTGTGTTTCTATCTGGGCACCACATTCGCCGGTGCCATGTACATCCTCGGGACTATCGAGATCCTCTTGGTGAGTGTTGTGTGTGCAGTTAAAGGTTACAGTCAGATTAGGGCCAGAAAATCCAAAGAGCAGAGATTTTAGAAACCGTTAATTAGCTACTAGGTCGTAAAGATCATCTAAGAATAACTTTGAAATTTCATTTGAGGAATTATTGAATGATTGGATGAGGTATTCTCAGTTTTTGCTGCCGATATAAAATCAAGCAACATGGTAAATATATATATATATTTTTATTTTTTGTAAGTTGATTTGATTTGATTTGAATTTAAAGCACTTTAATTTCACTTGCTGCCGATATAAAATTAAGCAACTTTGTGAATTTTATTTTATAAGAACTTCTATTTCACTTACATGAAAAAATAAATACGGGGTCCATGGAAAAGAAAATCCTTGTAAAAAAAAAAAAAAATTGTAACAGTGAAAAATAAGATTAAAATTAATTAAAAAATAAACAAATGAAAATGCTTAAATTAAATAAATAAATAAAAATAAGATTAAAATTAATCAACTGATTGATTTAAATAAATAACATTTTAAAATTTAATAAATAGTAAAAGTTGGACTTGAATACATTTAAAAGTACAGTGCAGAAAAAATGTAGTAATGTAACAATATAAACTAAATATTTTCTAAATAATTTGCACATATTTAGAATATTAAGTTTTTACAGTCTAAATTGGGTGTTTATACATGACAATATATAGCTGCCTTTAAAATTTTTGGGTGGGGGTCCATCACACAAAGATGGTCATAAAGATTGAAAACTGCTATTACTCTAATTTCTCCGAGATGCATTCTGTCAGATGATACTTACCAGTCCTATTCCCGTCATTTCCCCATGATTTCCTCTCTATTCTGTTCTATAAAATAACATCTTCTATCTGTGTTGTGTCACAGACGTACATAGTGCCCAGCGCTGCCATCTTTAAGGCGGAGAAGGCGGAGGAGGCGGACGCTCTGCTGAATAACATGCGTGTGTACGGGACGTGCTGTCTGACGCTCATGGCTCTCGTGGTGTTCGTCGGTGTGAAGTACGTGAATAAGCTTGCGCTGGTCTTCCTGGCCTGTGTGGTGCTGTCCATCCTGGCCATCTCTAAAAATGAGTAATATTTTATTTTATTTTAACACTTTTATTTCACTTACCTAAAAATAAGTAATATTTTATTTTATTTCACTTGCCTAAAAAATAATTATTTTTTATTTTATTTTATTTTATTTCACTTACCTAAAAATAAGTACATTTTTATTTTATTATTTATTTATTTATTTATTGCACTTTGATTCAAATAAAAAAGTATTTCAAAATCTGAAAATTTCTCTATTGAGAAAAAATTGATTTTTATTAAGCCAAATATTGCACTCTGTTACTCCAAAATGTTGGAGCCTTGTATTGTATGTTTTACAGCATCACCTATTTAAACTAAACCAAGCCTCTTTATAGATTGTAGCAGCGTCGGGCAGCTCTCTTTGCGTTATGTTGAACCACAAACACCCACAGCAGTGTTTGCTTCACAGATGAACACAGGCTTTCTCAATAACCACAAGCCTCCTGACAGTAAACTCTGATTTAAATCTGAATGCATTGTAAAGGCTGGTTTGTCCTCTCCAGGGTCTGTTTGTTGGGCAACCGCACCCTGCAGAACCACGGCTTTGACAAGTGCATGAAGACAGAAATAATAGACAACGTGACCATGACCACGAAGCTTTGGTCTCTGTTCTGTAAAGGGCCGGAGCTCAACGCCAGCTGCAGTGAATACTTCAGCCTCAATAACGTCACGGAGATCCAGGGCATTCCCGGCCTCACCAGCGGAGTCATTTCAGGTGAGAGCAGTAACTGAAGGCAACTTTTACCCTCTGTACTTTATTATAGAAACATAATCTTCAGTAACCTTTGAACTAAGTCACGTTATGGAAGTGGAATAGGTTGCACATGCCGTTTTGTGTTCATTTTAACTTCAGCTTGCTTGTACTGTTGGTCACTTTGGGAAGAAGTGTCTTCTAAATTATTATTCACTGTTCAAACTTATTTAGACGTGTGTGTAACTTTTATATGATGCGATGATGCCTTTGGACCTTGTCAATAAATATAAAGGCAGCTGTATATTTTCATGTATAAAAATACATTTTATTGTCTGAGAAAAATATAAAATGTGATATAAAGACAAAAAATGAAATAATTTTCCAAAATTAAATTATGCATCCACTTACCTAAAGTAAATATGTACATTTTATTTTATTTTTAGATTTTCATTATACTAAAACACGTTAAAATATTATCTTTTTATTAAGTTGACAGCATATCTGAGATATTTTTATTTTAGAAGCATAGTCCAAAAAAAGAAAAGAATGAAAAAAATATGGGGGAAAAAACAATTGATGGCATGATTTCTGACTAGTCTTAAAAAAAATAGATTGAAGTTAATTTATGAATTTAGTCAATGTAAAAAAAATACATTTAAACTTATTTCATTCATATCTGGAGTGTAAACTACCAGATTAATAGATTAATTTTGAAAGCCATAAAAATACATTTTGTTAAAAAATCTCTACAGTTTTTCACATTTCATATAATTTTTTTGAAATGAGTATTTTTTGTTTGTTTGTTTTTAGATTGCCATTATTCTAAAACAAATTCTTAAAATCTGGAAATCATTTACTTTTAATTACGTTTACAGCATATCTGAGATTTTCATTTTAGAAACAAAAATATTATGGGAAAAATAACAAAACAAAAATATTGCAAATAATGCTAAATTTACTCAATGTGAAAAAAAATAAAATGTCATAAGGATAATTCATTAATATCTTTTATATATTAATATAATTTAAACTAAACAAAAAATCACTTTTTCACAGACCCTAGATTGAAACCATTAAAGAGCATTAAAGTGACCTCTGACCCCAAATGTCTGTACTGTAGGGTGACAGAACATGCCAAGAGTTCAAGTGTAGGTCATCAGTGTGCATTTGTAATATCTTCTCTCATCATACGCCGTATGCCTATATATTTAGTTGTCATTGTAATCTTGAATATCCTTCAGGTTTGGGAAGCAAGTCACATTATGAAAGTAAAATAGGTTGCACATGCTGATTTGTGTTCATTCAGACCTCAGCTTGCTTGTGCTTGACATCTGAGACATGCGATGCCTGAATGAGACACGTCCTTGGAAAAAGTGCTCTTGGCTTCAAATGTACTTTAAGTGCATAAAACACACTTTTTTGCATTTGCATTTCAAGCAAAACCATATTGAAATAGTGCTGGGTGATAAATGATTTAATATCGAGATCACAATAAAATATCGTCCATAACGATGAAAAACTTCATCTCCAAAGCTGCTGAGAGTCACTTCAACAGCATTTCTCTGTTTAATTTGAGAAAAACGACTGTCTAATACACAATAAAGCTCAAAGATCTTCACAACTGCCAAAATAAAAATTCAGCTTAACTTGAAAAAATTATGACAGAAATGTTTGCCACTCTGTAAAAAATGATATGATTAGTAAGTCAAGTTTATCAATTTAACTAATCAATTATTTTAACCAATTTCAACATTATTTTTTAAGTTATATGAGATTCAACTAAATTTTTTAAGTCACTTTAATATAATTTAAGTTCAAATGACTTGTTCAGCCAATTTGATTATACTTAAAAATTTAAGGCAGCAACTGACTTAAGTTTTTATGTTGAAGTAGGTGGAAATTTTTTACAGTGTAATAATAATTATAATATTAATAATAATAAAGATTTTCGTAGTGCAGCATCTTATATGACAAAAAAATACAAATGTTTTGTTGTAAATGAATTGTTATATTTTCATTTGATTACATTTTAAAAGCTTAACTAAATTGTTAATGTTGTATTCATTAATTTCATTAGACACCATTTTTGATGATAAAGTTGATGATAAATTTAAATCATAAAACACAGAATTCAGAAAAAAATACTGTGGAAAACACAGAATTTATGTAAAAATAGTATGGATTTCATGCGGACCTCAACTAAAACTCCTACTCTGTGGAGTTTAAATGTGAACAAACAAATAAAAAAATGTTTAAAAGTTACATTTTAAAAAAAAGTTTAACCCTTAAATGCATACCTCGGGTCTTTAGCGACCCGGGACATCATTCTCTACCCTCTCCCTCCTTAATTTTTTAAAGTTAGACATCAGCTTTCTTAGTATTCCTCAGTCTATTCATTATAAACAATATAACATGAAAAAAAATAGTAAAATATAAAAGAATGCCAGTTTTCTGATTAATTTTTTGTGAAAAGTGTATAGGGTCGCTACAGACCCAAGGTATGTAAATGTGTAAGTATTTTTTCCTGCGCAACTATATTTACATATCTGACGACTCAATTTGTGCAACGCATCTTTTTTTCCTCAAGGTGGCACTGTTTGGTACACAATGATGACGTGATGTTTCACTCATAATTACCGCAGGCATAAAACAAACGAATATCATCTGCATACCTCGGGTCTTTAGCGACCCGGGACATCATTCTCTACCCTCTCCCTCCTTCATTTTTTAAAGTTAGACATCAGCTTTCTTAGTATTCCTCAATCTATTCATTATAAACAATATAACATGAAAAAAAATAGTAAAATATAAAAGAAAGCCAGTTTTCTGATTAATTTTTTGTGAAAAGTGTATAGGGTCGCTACAGACCCAAGGTATGTAAATGTGTAAGTATTTTTTCCTGCGCAACTATATTTACATATCTGACGACTCAATTTGTGCAACGCATCTTTTTTTCCTCAAGGTGGCACTGTTTGGTACACAATGATGACGTGATGTTTCACTCATAATTACCGCAGGCATAAAACAAACGAATATCATCAGCTTTGAATGGCTTTACTGCAGAGCAATTACTATATGCAATGAAATATAAATGTCACTGTCATTTGATGCTGGATGTGGTGAATAAGCTGCCAGTGATCAAAATATTGAATATGAAGTCATTGAAAACGATTGTTTTGAGAATATGGCTGAAATTGTGAATATGAGGCAGATGCTGAATGTACTGTGGAAGTGCGCTCTGACGATGACAGCGATTGTAAAATCATCTGCTCAAATTGAACCCTTTTAAGTTTCAAAATGAAACGAAATATGCTTTATTTTATTATTCTGTAATTGTTCTTAAAATATCAAGAGAGTTTTTTGCTATTGCAGCAGTTAGAGATCCATCCGTGCTGCATATATAGGTCCGGGTCGCTAAAGACCCGAAGATGTAATAATGATTGGCGAAACATTCATGCATTTAAGGGTTAAATTTATTTCCCCATTAATTTCTTTCCCTGTTAATGGTAAATGAATATTGTGATAAATATAGATACCGTATGATGTGGAAAAAATTATATTGTGATAATATTTTGTCCATACCGCCCAGCCCTGGACTGAAGTGTAATCTGTTTTTCTGAGTACATCTAATACATTTCCATGAGTGTAATTCCATGTTTTCACTCTGATGTGAATTTGATTAATTTGGTTTCTCAAATACAGATACTATTGAACCAAATGGCCAGAAATGAGAGCTTATCTCATTGAAATGAGTGCGTCTGTCAGCACATCTTGAGCTGTTCTTTGATTTGCACAGAGAACTTGTGGGGAAGCTACGGTCCCGCTGGCATGCTGGTGGAGAAGGCCATACCGTCAGTGCCGGCGAGCGACGCATCTCAGGACAAACACATGCCGTACGTCGTCAATGACATCACTGCCTTCTTCACACTGCTGGTGGGAATCTACTTCCCCTCCGTCACGGGTACCGTCACATCCATTACTCTCACTCTCGTCTCTTTGCTGTTCACTTTAAACTAAACTAGTTTGATCTGGGGGTGATCTGTCTTATCTAGTGCTCTCAGATTCACGTTGAGCTCAGCGGGGACGCGTGTGAACTCCCTGCAAACACAGCGATAGCGTTTCAGGACATGACCTTACTGTAACAACATGGACTGAGCTTTGGGAAGAGCCCTTCATGTTTGACTTGAGCTTTAGAGCTCTGGGGGATGTAATCAATATATACCTCAATAGGAGCATTTTACTTAAACAGTCGTTTGAGTGGAATTGTGACCCTGGACCACAAAACCAGTCTTAAGTGACAATTTTTCGATACTTTTGAGATTTACATCATCTGAAAGCTTTGTTAGGATCGGACAATATTTGGTCGAGATACAACTATTTGAAAATCTGGAATCTGAGGATGCAAAGAAATCAAAATATTGAGAAAATCATCTTTAAAGTTGTCCAAATGAAGTTCTTAGCAATGCATATTACTAATCAAAGCTGACATTTTGATATATTTACGGTAGGAAATTTACAAAATATCTTCAAGGAGCATGATCTTTACTTAATATCCTAATGATTTTTGGCATAAAATAAAAATCAATAATTTTGAGCCATACAATGTATTTTTGGTTATTGCTACAAATATACCCCAGCGACTTAAGACTGCTTTTGTGCTGCAGGGTCACAACTGAGAAGTGTTTGATAGGAAATACAGAAGTCATCTAGCTAAAATAATCAGCATTTTCCACTAAATGAATACAAGGAATTTTGTTTATATACAGTCAAAAGTTATTCAGACATCAGATATAATTTTTTATATTTTTTTACTTGTGGGTGCAGGACACTAGTCATATTTTATTACCATTTTCTAAACTATATAGTTTGACTGTATGTGTGTAACAATGTAAAACAGCAATACAGTAAATACTTATTACATTAAATATATATTATATAATATATACCTATATACCTGCATTATATATTATATAATATCTATATTTTACTAAAAAAAAAGGTTAATTCATTAAAAACTCATTCAGTGAACATTTTTGAATTGTTTCTTTAAACTGATTCATTGAAATGAACAGTTTGAACTGGAAATTAACAGAAATTGATTGAACTCACCAACTCTAAGCAGTGTTGTTTTAGAATTATTTATAGTATTATAGTATACATTATAGTATTTATTAATATATTAAATTATTTTTTATTATTTTATTTTAAATAATTTTTCATTTTAATTCATATTTTTAATTAGTGTTTATTTTTATATTTTCAGATTTTATTTAAAATTTAGTTTAAGTTTTAGTAGTTTATTATTTTTTTTTTATTATTATTTTTTTTTTTTTAGCTTTAATTTTTTTTTTTTAGTTTTAGTAATTTCCGAGCTTCAACTTATTTCAGTTAGTCATTAAAGTTTAGGTTTGTCATCTAATATTTATATTTTAGTTCAGCTTTTAATAGTCTCAGTTTTATTCTACAATAAATAAACCTGAATTCTGAATGTTTGTAATGTATCACTCAACTCAGTTATTCAGTATTTCAGATTTTTTCTGAACTACTTTTTTCTTACCATTTTTGAATGATAAGAATTTTATTTCCGCTTCTTAAAAACACTCTCATGTAGTTCCTCGGTCCTCCTCTGTTGTGCAGGCATCATGGCTGGATCCAACAGATCCGGGGATCTGAGAGACGCTCAGAGGTCCATTCCCATCGGCACCATCCTCGCCATCGCAACCACCACCATCATCTGTATCCTTAGTCTAGACCTGCCTAACACGTTATATCTTTAACCATGTATTGGGATCATAATCGAATCAATACTAAAATGCTGAAACTCAATGACTGAAGCATTAGTGTTGTGTCTGTAGAGTAGAGATGCTGTTAGTCTTTTCTGGTTTTCTTAGCGTGTGTAACTCAGATCTGTCCTGCGTGGTGGTGTTCGGCGCCTGCATCGAGGGTGTGGTGCTCCGAGACAAGTGAGCGCTTTCTGCTTCTCCTTTCCCACTCATAATATCTTCATTTTCCTGGATAAACATACAGGCAATCTACTTTAAACAATGGCTGATGTCTGTGCGAAGCCTGTTTGTGAGCAGCTCTGCACTGCGGGTCAATAAACTCTTTATACAGTATGCAATATCTCAAGATTATATCACAGGAAAATGCTTGTGTCTGTTCCAAAACCTAGTGTGCTGCCTACCTAGACAGCGTTTAGATGTTCCAAAGATGCACATATACACTGTGTAAAAAATATAAAAAAAAGTCGAAACTAAATAAAGGTTATTGGAGTGAATTTTGCAAGACAATACTATTTCAGTCTTTCTACCTCAAAATTTCATGTTTAATTCAATGTGTTTTATTATTCAATGTGCAATTATTTGTGAAATTGACTAGCAATTTCTGAGTAAAAATAGTTTAAAAGTAATTTTTTTACAGTAAAAAAAAAAAAACTGAAATATTTGTATACTTCATTCAATACTGCTAGGTGTCAGTGGATTAAATTAGAAATATTTTTGTTTGCCTATATTTTATTTCAGCTTTATTTCAATTAAGAAAATTGATTTACAATAACAATACTGTTTTTACTTTTTTCTTTTTTTAATGTTATTTATTTTTCATTTGGTTTTTAATTTAATATTTATGTTTTATTTCAGCTTTATTTCAATTAGCAATGAATTTGTAATAGTTTTAGTTTGGTTTTATGCAACAATAACAACACTTTTTGCTATTGAATTTTGAATCAACGATAGATTCCTTTTATAAAATGTATTTTAAAAATTCTAAATACTAATGCTACTTCGATTATGTTACTATTATAAAATCGTATTTGTGAAATTTACAGGCAATTTCTAATTTTTATATTTGTATGTCTTATTCAATACTGCAAGGTATTAATATAAAGTGGTTTAATTTAGAAATACCTTTGTTTACCTATATATTATTTGTTGTTGTTCATTAGGTTTGGAGACTCTGTTAAAGGGAATTTGGTGATTGGCACGTTGTCCTGGCCCTCTCCCTGGGTGATCGTGATTGGCTCGTTCTTCTCCTGCTGTGGGGCGGGGCTTCAGAGTCTCACCGGCGCCCCCCGGCTGCTGCAGGCCATCGCGCGGGACGGCATCGTGCCCTTCCTCCAGGTACGAACGCATCAGATATGCCTGATATCTCATGATATCATATATCTATAATATATGATATTTTGAATTAGCTTTTATTTTTAGATTTTCTGGCTTCATTTTAATTTTAGGTTTAGTAATTTTGTTATGTGCATATGCCAATTATATCAGTTATATTATTTTTTTGTTTTTAAGCTTTATTTTTATTTAAGTTGTAGTAATTTTAGTACTTCATATTAAACTTATTTTATATTAGTTAGTCATTTAAGTTTAATTTTTTCATCTTATATTAATATTTTATTTCAGCTTTATTTCAGTTAGTGAAATTGATCACGGTATGGCTCGCGGGACGCTTGGTATTCTTTTTTTCGTTATCTTTTTTCCCTATCACGTATTTTAGTAATCATCATAAGTTAGATATCATTTGAAAGCTTAAAAACTCAAAATTCATCTTGTGAATCCCATTTTGAAATCGGACATTGCGTTAACAACTTCAAAATCTTTTGGCAGTCTCCTCCCCCTCAGTGGCCAGTGTCAAGTGTCATATGATCAAATGTATTACGATATTTTATAATCAAAACTTTATATAATCCTGACAAAATGCATATCGTCAGAAAAGTCTGAGTCTCAAGATTCCATATTTGGTTATTTTGTGATGGAAGCAAAATTGTGAAAAAATGTTGATAAATTTGTGACAGGAAAATGCATTTTAAAAATTCAATGAAGTTTGAGTGTCACCCGGTGGCTGTTTTTGGTATAACGCCTAAATAAAATCTCCCAGGAACCTGTTTTTTTTTTATATCGACTTCAAATTTGGAGCATAACTTTTTTAGACATATGGCTTTAATTTGAAAGCAATTTTAGAGTAAAACATTCTGTAAAATAATTATTTTATATAAAATAAAAACTTTATAGTACAGTACATTTTCTTTACAGTAAACTTAAACTTCTATAACTTTTTCATACTTTCATTTTTTTTAAATGATCACTTCAGCAATAATCTGCTGGCCAGCTGACCCAGTGCATTGTGATTGGCCGAACACCACAAGCACGCAAATTTTATTAGTTTTAGTTAGGTTTATAAATTGATTGGGAATATGGGAATTAAAATGGTATTTCCTTCAACCGGTGTAAGAAGCTTTCAGAGTATTTGATGTTTGTTAATGACAGTGCTGGTTAATACCAGATTACCATGGTTTATTATAGTAACAATAACTGTTTCTATGTTTTGGTATGGTAAGGTTTTCAGACGTTTCATTAGATGTCTTTTGAATCATTGATCATATCTCAGTGTTATTCTACACATGAACTGTGTCATCTGCTGGTCTCTCAGGTGTTTGGTCATGGGAAGGCCAACGGAGAGCCGACCTGGGCTCTCCTTCTGACGGCTGTGATCTGTGAATGCGGGATTCTCATCGCTTCTCTGGACGCTGTGGCGCCAATCCTTTCCATGTGAGTCTCATGTCTGAGCTGTTTCTCCGTCAGTGTGGCGACAGACTGTGTGTTTGACTGTGTGTTGTCTCTCCTCAGGTTCTTTCTCATGTGTTATCTGTTCGTGAATCTGGCCTGTGCCCTGCAGACGCTGCTGAGGACGCCCAACTGGAGACCACGGTTCAAATACTACCACTGGTGAGAGACAAGGCATCTGCTGTACGGCTTTAGTTTGGGGTCGAAAAGATTTTTGAATGAAGTCGATTTATTTGATCAAAAATACAGTGAAAATTGTGAAATATTATTACAATTTAAAATAGCTGTTTTCTATGTGAATATCTGTTAAACTGTAATTTATTTCTGTGATCTAATCTGAATTTTCAGCATCATTACTTCAGTCTTCAGTGTCACATGATCTTCAGAAATCATTCTAATATGCTGATTTGCTGCTCGAGAAACATTTCTGATTATTATCAATGTTGAAATCAGTTGTGCTGCCCAATATTTTTGTGGAAACCATGATACATTTTATTTTTCAGGATTCTCTGATGAATAGAAAGTTCAAAAGAACAGCAATTATTTTAAATATTTTTTGTAACATTATAGTTGTCTTTACTGTCACTTTTTGATTCATTTAATGCTTCCCTGCTGAATAAAAGTACTTTTAAAAAAAATCTTACTGACCCTAAACTTTTAAATAGTAGTGTGTATTTTTTATGTATATGTGACCCTGGAGCACAAAAGCAGTCTTAAGTCGCTGGGGTATATTTGTAGCAATAGCCAACAATACATTGTATGGGTCAAAATTATAGATTTTTATGTTGTATCTCAGCCAAATATTGTTCTATCCTAACAAACCATACATCAATGGAAAGCTTATTTATTCCGCTTTTGTATGATATATAAAACTCAATTTTGAAAAATTTACCCTTATGACTGGTTTTGTGCTCCAGGGTCGCATATGTACTTTATTTTTTTTTCCCTAATAATTTGGAGCTTTTTCACAGTCCAGTCAATTCCATCAAGTCTCTTCAATAAATATGCAATCAAAATGGACTAATTTTAATCTTGGTGGAGGTGATTTATATACAAAAACTGGAGAACCAAAGTTCAATAACTTACAGTGGGTACGGAAAGTATTCAGACCCCCTTCAATTTTTCACTCTTTGTTATGTTGCAGCCATTTGCTAAAATAATTTAAGTTAATTTTTTTTCCTCATTAATGTACACACAGCACCCCATATTGACAGAAAAACACAGAATTGTTGACATTTTTGCAGATT